GTCATGACCCCTACCTCTTCAAAGAATTTACTTCCCAGACGATTAAAAGTTGCCACAGCAAAGAGGAGCTGGAAAAGATGTTATTCCACTACTATTCAGTTTCATATGGAAAACACTTGGAAGGAGTGAGGACTACTAAAAAGGTCCTATAATTTAGATGTGAAAGACACGAAATGTCAAAGCAAAATATTTTGAAGATGAGATTGTTATATGTGTGGGGCATATTAGTCTATGGGGCATATTGGTCTATACTAGTGCTCCGATCAAACATGACAAAATTACCATATCAATTTAGGATATTTTGGGGTTTGTATCCCTTCAACCCTATTTAATTTTTTGTTATTGTGTGTTTGTGTATCTTTTTTCTTTGTTTTATTTCTTTATTTACTTTTAATATTAGTTTTATTTCTTTATTTACTTTTAATATTATTTCCCATTTGAGCACGGTTTATGCACTTTCTTTTTTATTACACGATATATAAAATATCTATAACATCTATAATTAGACTTATTTTAAAACAGATTTCTTTTGGTTGTTGTTTACCACCACATGACCACCCGTTGACAATAATTTTTATTATATTATCATCATTACATAGATATACATATTATTAATATGTCAATCCAAACCAACATAACTCCTTATAAACCATTCAATGTATTTTACACTATGTTTATGTTGGTTCAAGTGGTAAGCAACTTGATATTACTTAAACAAAGTCTCAGGTTCGAGTCCTTAATCCGCACAAGGAGGAAAAGAGTGCCCTAGGATTTCATTAAACTCAAATATAACAAAGTAATACAAACTAATCTCCCTCAAGAGATACAAAACCAGAAAGAAACAGCCCTTAACAGAACATAATTCAACCAATACCAGCCTTAGCTAGGACATCCGCCTCTATATTGGCTGTCCTACTAACCCAACTAATAAAACCTTCATAAACACTAAGCTTTTGAATAATGTCTTTAACAATTTGAACATAAACAACAGGACCAGAGACCACATCCTTAACCCAGCCAACTGCCACCTTACTATCACTCTCAATAATCAATCTATCTTTAAACCTATGACAAATAGATTCATAAAAATCTAAACCCTTTAGGATAGCCTTCAATTCCATTAAAGTTGGGGGCCCCGGACCAGCAGGCTCTTTGAAGGAGCCAAGAATCGAACCAGATATGTCTTTCAAAATACCACCTAAACCACTCCTCTTCCAATCACTCGAAGTAGCCGCATCTACATTAAGTTTAATAAAACCTTTTAGAGGAGGGGACAAAGGAAACATGGTTGAAATCCGATTAGAATGGGACGAGTAGGAATCCACTAAGGAAGGGTCAGCAATAAGATCATCCTTAGAAATAGTAATATGAGTTTCCTTAGCTAGAAACCATGAAGCAAGCCTGCACCTTGCTAGAAAGAAAATCTCTGCTTGATCAAGCTTCCCTCCTTCAAACACTATAAAATTCATGGTCTTCCAAATTGTCCATAAAACAGCTCCAGGGATAAATGACCAGATAAGAGAGTTGGTCTTCAAGTCATTCCAAGCCAATAGGAATCTTTTAGCATCTGCATGAAAAATAAACTGAAAATTCCAATAGCCCAAGAATTTCATCCAAATTGGCCAAACAACCGAACAGGAAAAAAATAAATGCGATGAAGACTCTTCTTCTAGATTACAAAAAGAACACAAAGTATCATTTATGCCCTGAACACCTCTCTTAACCAGAGTTGTCTTCACTGCCAACTTCTTTAAGATAACTCGCCAAAGAAAAGTCTCTACTCTTGGAGGCAACAGACCCCTCCAAACATTAGACTTCCAAAATTTAGCTTCCTCCTAATCGGGAGAACCCGAATAAGATAGATTGACACATGATTTCACAGTGAAAACCCCTTCTTCAGTCCCCTTCCAAAACAGTCCATCAGCGGCATCAGCAGAAATAGAAAAATCAGAGATAACAACCATCAAATTCGCCCATTGCTCAAATTCCCAGTCATTCAACTCTCTCCTCAGTTGAACGTTCCAAATCCAACCCCCTGAACTGAACTCCCCAAACTGAAATAATCTTCCTGCTTTATTCACTGCAATAGAAAATAGTCTAGGGAACAATACCATCAAAGGATGATCCATTGCCCAATTGTCTTGCCAAAACCGAATGTTCCTCCCATTGCCAATTTTATAGCTATATTTACCTCTGATACTACAGCCCAACGAATCAGCTTTATAATGATTACTCACCATATCTCTCCACATCCAAGAAATTTAGGAGAAACTTTACTGTCGAACTGCATCAAGGAAGGGTCCAATTTATATTTGATGCAGAGCATTTCCCTCCAAACCGCCTCACTCTCAATAGCAAACCTCCAAGCCCACTTTTCCAAAAGTGCCCTATTCACCACATTTAAATTAGGAACCCCCAAGCTTCCTTCAATTTTTGGTTTACAAACGTCGGACCAGCTTACCCAATGGATCTTCTTTTTCCCATCTCCACCACCCCATAAAAAATTTGACATAATAGAATTTAGAGTCTTGTAAACTGAAGCTGGAACCTTGAACATTGACAAAAAGTATATAGGGAGTGAGCTTAGAACTGATTTAATTAGAACTAGCCTGCCCGCCAGTGATAGAGAGGAGCCTTTCCAGCCCACTAACCTCTTATTAAAGCTTTGAACCACTGGATCCCATAGAATGTTGGAGTTTCTATGTGGACCTAGAGGGAGTCCCAAATATTCTGAGGGAAAAGAGCCCACTGAACATCCAATCATAGATGCCCAATCCTTAATTTCCTCTTCCTTTAAGTTCACCCCAAATAATTTACACTTCTTTAAATTCAGCTGAAGACCAGAAATAATCTCAAATACCCGAAGCACCCTTTTTACATTCAAGATCTATTTTTTCGACGCCCCACAGAACATAATAAGGTCGTCAACAAATTGCAAATGAGTTAAATTAAAATTCCTCTCCTCTTTTCTAATGACCAAACCCAAAAAAAGCCCTCCTGTAACAGCCTTCAGTATTAATAGATTCAAGAGTTCCCCAACTATATTGAACAACAATGGAGACAAGGAACAGCCCTACCGAAGACCCCTCGCCATTGGAATTTCCTCGGTAGGAACCCCGTTCACCAAAACTGAAACAATTGCTGATGTGATACATTTCGAAATCCAACCTATCCATCTAGAACCAAAGCCCATTTCCTTCATTATTCTGAACAAAATAGGCCAGTCAAGAGTATCATATGCCTTCTTGAAATCAGCCTTAAAAACACAACCTTTTAAACCATTCTTCCTCCAAAAGTCAATCCCTTCATTGGCTATAAGAGAACAGTCTAGGATTTGCCGACCGGGGATAAAAGGGAATTGACTTGGACTGATCAAATCTGAAATGCAGCTCCTAAGTCTTCTTGACAGACATTTAGAGAGTATCTTATACAATCCACCAACTAGGCTTATAGGTCTAAAATCGTCTAGACCACCAATGTTTGAAATCTTAGGAATAAGAGTGATGAATGTGTGATTTACTCCATGTTCCCATTCATTCCCCAAGTAAAAATTATGAAAGAATTTCATAATATCTACCTTAAGGACCTGCCAAAACCTCTTGAAAAATCCCAGATTAAAACCATCAATATAATGAATACAAAAGTTATGAAATTGATAAAATACTGTGGATTAATACATGGATTGACGACACTGTGATTGTTGGTTGTTTATTGAACTACATAGTATGGAATCTCTTCATGATTTATGATGAGCATGAACTTTATATTATTATTTGTGATGATTTGTATGACTTTAGTTCCTGTTGTATGTTCGATATGCGAATTTATCACTTTCATGAAATATATTAGAGTAGACGTGTGCTACTAGTGCACAAGTATACAGAGTCGCTAAAAGAGTTTTAGCATCAACTATACAGAGTACGACACTTTATATCTTGTAGTGAACATTTATATTTGTAGGACCTTTATTAGTATTTAATCTATAACTGTGTTTTATAAATATTTTATGGTCATGTAAACTCTTAATTATTTTTGGTTAACCTTGATATCATAATTTGATAATTTTGAACGGTGAAATTATTTTTAAAACACATAACTAATTTTATATTTAATTTTTTGCGACTTCGTGATTTAATATGATATTTTGGATCTCCATGTATTAAAAATTATCCTTGAGGTCTCATGTTACGTTATTATTTTTGTCTGGATTGTTACATTAATATTGTGACGATCAACGATAATTTTCGTCCATCAAATGATATCATTAATTAAATTTAAAAATTTTATTGAGTAAAAAAATAATATTTTAATTGGTTTTCCCCCAAAATTTTCAGAAACTTTTCACGCCCTTAGACTTATTATTATTATTTGCAAGCTTGTCTACATATGAGGATTATATGTCATAATGCACTGTTCTTTTCTCTCGTCTCCTATTATTTTATTGAAAATGAGATATTAAGAGTCTTTAAATGGAAGATTTATAAAACAATGGACCCACACCAAGTTGCAAGTATTGAAGAGTTAAAGTTAGGCAGCATCAATTGTTATCATGTCAATGTCACACATCTCATTGAAGCAGTATAATAATAAGATAAAAATAGACCAATAATAAAAAAAATCTTAATTTAGTTAATAAAAATAATTTCTTAATTTAGAACATGGAAGAAGCCATACGGCAGATATTGGGTCACTGTTTCTCCTATTATATTAAAAATCAAATAAATCCAATAATTTGTATACAAAATTAAAATATTTTATATATTAATATATTATTTGTACTGAAAAATATTATATATTCACATATATTTAAAAAGAAAGGTGATTATGAAAATATGACATTTCTCAATTCCCATTCACAAATCAGAGCCATACCACATACAGACGGTCATGAACTTCTTAGATGGGTGCATTGCCCGTTATCAACCTCCGTCCTTTTAAAACTTTATAAGAGAGCAAAATATTATATATATTTACATACATAAAAACAAACATAAAAAGGTTGGTAGGGTTTTTTTTAACATCACAATCATAACCATTTGATCTCTGTCCGGTCACTTTGATTTGAAAGGAATGGCTCTGATCACAACCACGTGATAGAGTGCTGCTAGTGCTGCACCAATGAATGGACCCACCCAGAAAATCCACCGCAACCAAAACCATACCAAATTAGATAAGTTTCACCAAAATTAATACATAACCTATTGTCCAAAATGATCTGAATTGAAGTTGCATTCTTTAATACAATATTAATTTTTTTTATCATTTGATTAAATGAAAAAAACAATTAGAGACTTACATGATCATCCCAACCCTTGTCCTTGTTGAAGATGATGGCTGCACCGAGACTTCGAGCCGGGTTGATACCGGTTCCGGTAATCGGAATGGTGGCTAAGTGGACTAAGAACACTGCGAACCCAATTGGCAATGGTGCCAAAATCTAGCATCACAAAATAAAACTAAAAAAATAATTCGAGCAACAATATTATAATTTATTTAATTCTATTCGAATCTAATATATTTTGTTATCTTTAATATTCCGTCCAAAATGAAACTTTAACCAGGTTTAAATTACTTACAGGAACGTGAGAGTCTCTGGCGCTACGCTTGGCGTCAGTGGCGGAGAAGACGGTGTAAACAAGGACAAAGGTCCCAACAATTTCAGCACCAAGTCCGTCGCCTTTGGTGTAGCCATGAGCTACCGAGTTAGCTCCGCCGCCCAAGGCACCGTACCGAGTCTTCCCCATGAACCCTTTCACCACACCGGCGCCGCATATGGCCCCTAAACACTGCATCACCATGTAGTAAATCGCCCTTGTCGATGACAACTTCCTCGCCAAGAACAACCCAAAAGTCACCGCTGGGTTAATATGACCACCTATCCACCATCGTCCACAGATGCGGAGATCAGAATGATTTTCTCGATAAACAAACAAGGTTGAATTAGGAGGAAAATGGTTTTTTGTTATACCTGAGATTCCAGCAGTGCAGTAAACAAGAGCAAAGATCATGCCACCGAAAGCCCAAGCAATACCTTGAATTCCCACGGTCGTGCACTTTGTTTTCTCCTTAACGACGCCCATGACAGTCAAAACAGTGATGTACAAGAAAAGGAAAGTGGCCACGAACTCGGCGATCCCGGCTCGGTAAAACGACCAAGATGTCAACTCGCCGGGCTCGAAAAACGGAGCTGGTGGTGGCTCGGTGTAGTCTTTGACGTCGTCTTGGCTCTGAGCGGCGGTCCCAATAGGTTGTCTCTCGTTGAACTTGTTGGCTCCTAATCTAACATCCTCTTCTTTGCCCTCCATTTTCACTTCTTTGCTTTTTTGGTAAAAAAAACTAAAAAAATAAGAGAATGTAAATTAAAGAGTCTTTTCTACTTAGTGGGAGTGTTAGGGGAGCTTGCAATGGTGACTTTTTTTTTTTTTGGATAATTAGCAATGGTGACTTTATAGGCTAAGGTTGATGCGAAAATGGTGGGTGGTGGAGTTTAAGCATATACTAATTGTATTGAAATTATTTTGTGTGTTTGTTCAAAGAAATTAATTGTGACCGGCCAATCCTTGCCAAATTTTTAGGCTTAATTTAAAATTAATTTTAGAATATAATATAAAATTTAAGAAAAATTATGTATTTAGTCACTCAGATTTAACTATATTTTTACTTTTATTATTTAACTTTAAAATTTCACTATTCTATTGCCTAAATTTTAAAATTTATTTCTTACACCATACAATCATTAATTGCGTAACGATGGTATTAAATCATCTTTTTTGCATTTATATGAAATTCAGTTAACATTTTAATATTGTTTGATCCCGTCATCATAATTTACGATGTAACTGATGTCATAAATAAAATATTCTCTTTTTTTCTTAATTTTTTTCTTTGAAATATTTTTGAAATCGATAAAACATAAATTAAAATATTACTATCTCTTAAACTAAACTTACAATCTTTATTGTTTGATTAACGTAAAATCAACATATAAATTTAAACCAGATCTTTACACGTTTAATTTTTTTAGAAGTAATTTAATAATAATAAATTTTAGAAAAGTCTAAAAAGTTTAATTTGAGAGAAAAAGTTTTGAGAAGTTTATATAAATTTATTTTTTTAAAAATTGTACTGAAACTTAACAATGACATAAAAGTAAATTTCGATATTGATATTAATGCAATAATTATCAAATTGTGTCGACTACCAGCAATATCTTATATATATAATTAATATGTGGGTTAGGGCCGGATGCACTAAAATTATAGGAATTAAGTGTATCTTGTTATTTTAAAAAATTCTAAAAGATTAATTTAATATATTAAGGAGAGGAAAAGAAAAAGTTTATATATTTAAATTTTTTAAAAATTAGTATTTTAAAATTTTGGATTGTTTTTTTTATTTTGAAATTTTTCACTGATGTGATAGTAAATATGATTTTTTTTCGAATTAATCAGTGATATATAATTTATTTATAGATAGTAAATATGGGTTTTAATTTCATTATCTGAAATTGGAATATTTTTGTTTATAAACGACATCGGGATGGCTGCAGGTGGACAGCTTATTTTGCTCAATTTTTTGCCACAAATTTGTGGGCTGGGCCACCGCCCGCTTTTTCACGCGTGAGAGTGAATGATTATTTTAATTAATTTTATAATTTATATTTAGAATTTATAAATATTATTTTTAGTAACTTTTCTTTTAAATTTAAATATGATTTTTAAAGTTACGATTCTAAGACATCGTTCATCAATCCTTAAATATAGACAACTTTTATTTAATTGTCTATTTTTATAAATGAAATGAATAATAATATTAAAATAATAAAAACAAGTTATTAAAATAAGGATATTAATGAATTAAATTTAAATAAATAAATTTGTAATTGTATTATTTTATTAAGTTAAGGACGATTGGTTTATTGGCATGTTTAGTACTTGTTCTGTTGTCATATATTTAAATAGTATTTTTAATATATAGTTATAAATGTTTAATAATTGCACTAAGCCCCAATAGGAACCAAATGCATCATCATTATTTTGGAAAAGTGGTTAAATTTAGCTTAATGTGTTTAGGGGGAAAATTACAAGATTTGTATACCCATTATTTTTAATAAAAGAAAATTAAAATTTTGGACTCCACTCTTAAATTTTTGGATCTGCCATTGTTTTAAGGTAATATTTTAATACTATAGTATGTATGTATTGTATTTTTAAATGTCTTTTAATGTTTATATTTTATAAGATTGTTTGATTATTCGACTAAGCTATGAAAGACCTTCAAAAACTTAGAGTGTCTTTTCAAGGGTTATTCGAATAAAATAAAAATATTTATTATTTACTTACATTTTTTAAATAGATTAATATATTTTATAATGAAGATAATCTTTTGTTTATATATATGTGTTTCATATAATAAAATTATTTTAATAAATATAAGTTATAATCTATTTTGTGGTGTGAAAACATCCAAAACTTGGGCTGCATTTCCTTAAGACACTAATGAAAGATACTCCACCAAATTTTAAATTCTAATAAATATAAATATTGTAGTGTCCTCTTCACTTTGTTTGTTATATTCGATATTTCATGCATCTTGTACATGACATTTATTAATGTTGCATTCATAAATCATGCATTTGTTTTCTAGTTTTCAAAAATAATTAAGGGTAATGTTGTATTGCGTCGTAGGTTAATAGAATCGCGTCCAACATGACCGAGTTTCAATTTCGTTAATTCACGTAATGAGGGGACACCCCTTTCAAATAAAATCGAGTGAATTAACCATTTTTGTCGAGTCAAATCTTTTAAAAAAGAAATTTATTCATTTTTAAATTCATAGAAATAAAAGGATTGTAATTCAAATTTTTGATAATGAACGTTTAATCACCTGTTGTAGTCCATGGTGCTCGAATTCGTAACCTCTAGGAACAACAACGATTCCTTGAACCACTATATTTATTTTGTTAGGAAAAAATCAATAATATTGGAGCTTTGAATGAGAAATTGATCCAAACGTTGTTGAGGAAAATGTAGAACCAATGTAGAACTAATAATTTCTTTTGATAAATTTTATAGATACAAACGAATTTTAAGTTTAATTCAAGGATTTTAATTATTGAGTTTCCAGTAAAATCAAATGATTATTTTCTTTTGGGTATTGTGTTGTCAAAAAATCAAAGGATTAGTTCCTTTTGATTACTTGGTTCGGAAATTAAAATCAAATTATTAGTTTCCTTTCATTATTGGGTTATGAAAATTGAAATTAAACGATTAGTTCCTTTCTATTATTGGATTGCGAAAATTAAAAATCAAATGATTAATTTCTTGTGATTATTGGGTTGGTAAAATTAAAGGATTAATTCCTTTTGATTTTTGTTTGTTAAACAAAATCGAGTTGTTGTGATATATTTGTTCCAAGTTTTAGTGTTACTAATCTCGTCAGTTAACAGAATATAAAAGAAATAAATCACTGAATTTATTCCATCGTTAGAATATTGCATTGATTCTAACTTCGTAAGGAAAATAAATAGTTGAATTTATTTTATTTAGAATCTTATATGATTCTAATATTGTAAGGAAAAAAATAATTTATTTCCTTAAGAATCTTAAATGATTTTTTTTTTGTAAAAGTAAATAAATTGGTTAATTTATTTTCTTAGGAATCTTGAAGGATCATGTTATGCAAAAAGAAATAAATCATTAAATTTATTTTCCTGTGAATCTTATATGATTCTGATTGTAAAAAAAACGTTGAATTTATTTTCTTTTTTTTAAAGGAAATAAATCGTTGGATTTACTTTCCTATTTTGTAGAAGGAAATAAATCATTAAATTTATTTTCCTATTTTTAAAATGAAATAAACCGTTGGATTTAATTTTCTATTTTGTAAATGAAAATAAATCGGTAATTTATCTTCTTGTTTTGTAAAAGGAAATAAATCGTTACATTTATTTTTCTATTTTGTAAATCGAAACATATCGTTGGATTTAGTTTCCTGTTTTATAAAAGAAAATAAATCATTTGATTTAGTTTCTTGTATTATAAAAGAAAATAAATTATTGTATTTATTTTCTAAAACGAAATAAATCGTTGGATTTTAAAAGTAAATAAATCGTTGGATTTATTTTCTTGATTTGTAAAATAAAATAAATTATTGTATTGAATTTATTTTCTTCGGAATCAAGTATGATTCTATATTGAAAAAAAAGAAATAAAACTTTAAATTTATTTATATAAAAATCTCGATATGTTTGTAAAGTGAGATCTTGGAAATAAATATAATTTTGGCAATTTAATTCATGTTGATTTAATGAGTTTATTTGATTTACTTTTACAAACAAGAAGGAATAAATATTTTATTACCTTTATTGATGATAGAAAAAGTATTTTTATATATTTGCTAAAGAGCAAAAACGAAGCTATAGAGAAATTTATTCTCTATAATTTAAAAGTTGAAAACCAACTTAATAAAAATATTAAGATGGTAAAAGGTGACTATGATGGTGAATAAATTATTCATGAAGTGATACCATAATACTCTCCTAGATTAAATTGAGTAGCAAAGCGTAAGAAATAATTCTTAAAAAGGAAATAATGAATGCAATGCTAAGAAGTTATGGGTTATCACATAACATGTAGGGGGAAGCTATTTTCAGCTAATTATCTTTTAAATGAGGTTTTTCGTAAAAAATGACAAGAGATTATATGAGTTATGGAAATGTAGAAAATCTTTCTACAATTACTTAAAAATATGGGGGTGTCTTGTAAAGATAATGATCTCATTATCGAATGAAACGAAATCCCAAATTGGTGGATTATATTGGCTATGTAGATTATAGCAAGACATATCTACATCTTGTGTATGAATCAAAGAACCTCAAGATTCAAAAGAACACGATAACGAAATCAAAGAATATCTCATTCTTTAAAAGTATATTCCCTTATAAAACTAAGGAAGGTGATCAAAGACTATAAATAAAGATAAGTTTATATGTTCAACAAAAGGTTGAAACAAAGATATTCTCATGATGAAAACTTATGAAAAGAATTTATGAGAGAACTGAGATATCTCATATATGCTCAAGAGTATGGATTGTATTATCCCAAGATCATGCTTCATTAGAAGGATACTTTGATGCCAATTGAATATCTAAAATTCAAGACATCAAAGGCACAAGTGAATATGTTTCACTTGGGAAGAGGAGTCATGTCATAGAAATCTTCAAGAAAATGGTTATAACCAAATCCAAAATGAAATATGAGTTTGTGCCTCTATACAAGTCTAGAGAATAAGTTGAATTAGTTTAAAATTTTTTGGAGGATATTCTTGAATAACCAAAGTTTGTGCCCACAATA